ACCTTAATCACCCAACTTAGTCTCTCTTCCCCACATATCCTGCACAACATTCTTGAACACAATGCAATAATGATGACCAGCGTCGTCTTCGAACAACCCCTGTAACTCACCAGCCTTCCTCCGACCACCAGTTCCTCTTTCCGGCACACGCATGACGGACACTCGCTGGAGAAGATGGACTTGGTTATAGCATCCAGTCCTGTGTAGTAAGGCAGAATAACTGAATCCAAATACAGACTCGCATGCAGAATACCGGAAACAGTCGAAGCTTCTAACACTGCATATCTTATGCTTCTCTGATCACTTCTGTTCTCGAATGCAAGAGCTGAAACGTGAATGAGGAGGAGGATTGAAGGCCCCATTTGTGAGAGTGGAAACAAAGTGTTGATTCTCTGTCCATTGGCCAGTACTAAGAGCATCAATGGCAGCACTATGGGACCTGAAGGCAAGAAATACCTTCTCTTCAATCTTCTCCTCCCAAAGATTTCTCCACCGGTTCTGAATTCTAATGCTGTGAAAGCTGCAGCTGAGAGAAAGGAGAGTGCAACGAAGGTGAGTGCCGAGAGGTCGATGAATGGAGGGAGGTTTCCGGCATAGGTGCTGTCGCAGAAGTAATGAAAGGGGCAGTTGAGGAGATCCATGGTTTCCTCCAGTTGCCATCTGGTGCACTTGAAGAATGTCGTTGTGATGTTCTTTGTGAACCATTGTTGAAGAAGAAGCAAGCTGGTTTCTTCAGCTATGAAAGGTATGTCATCCATCATGCAGAGTAGCTGTTTGTTTTGCTTTCTATTCATTTTGCTGCTGTTACTGAAACTTTAGCTTTAAGATGTTGTAGTACCTTGCTTCTGATAATGTTTTGTCGGTTGGAATGGTGTTGTAGCTGAAGTCAATTGGGGATTGGATGGAGAGGGAAGGTCTAACTGATGGCTGTAATGATAGAGTGCTGGCTTGTCTATTTTGCCCTTCTAGCTTGAAGAAAAGGTTGGTTGGGTGTTCATGGGGATGGGTTGCTGTCATGGCTGGTGTGTTGAGGGATAAACAAAACACTAATCAGCCTTGTTTTGCAAGGTAAGCGGATGGTGAATATTAATTATTGTTATTTGTTAAGGCTTTCAGTTGAAGTTAAGAGGTTTGGAGGGTTGGTTAGTGTAG